TCTTCTTTTTTTTTTTTTTCTTTTTCCAACTGTTGCTTCAGCTGTCAACAATCTTATATAGACAACAGAAGCTATTCTCTTGCACAGACATCATCAAGTTCTCAACTGGGCACTCCAGAGTTCCACTTGCTTTGTGCTGTATTTGCACTTTAATAACTACAGCAACGGATATGCACAGCGCCGGGACGGTCTGGACAGACAGCAACCGAGGTTCCCAGGGAGAGTGAGCGCATCCTCGCTGGCCGGCTTCTCCTGCTGAGTTTCCATCCTGGGGCTCTCCCAGGCAAATGGCAACACCTCACAAATTGCTCTGAGGATGAACTTTTAACTAAAAATGGAGACAGTGCCTGAGACAATGAAAGCTGACTGACTTGAGGGAAAAACGTCACAAAAAGGGAACAAAAATGAAACAGAAATACTATAAAAATGCACTTTCATCCAAACCTTCGAAGTGCCTGAAAGGCACAGTGCACACAGAGGACCCTGAGGTCTGAGTGGGGGAAGGCCGAGCTCTCCCAGCACTCTGCAAGATTTGGATTAAAGCAGAAGAAAGGCGGCAAGATCAACAAGGCTGGCCAGCAAGCTTGCACTGAGCTAATGAGCTGTGTCAAGGGCTGAGGGGGTAAGACACGAAGGGGGGTGTGAATTTAACCAGAACACAGCGCTGAGGCCTGGAGAAGGCAGAAGTCAAGAGAGGCTCGCCTGGGAGCCGGCGAAGGTGAGGCAAGGATGAGGGTCACCTGGGTTACACTAGCAACAAGGCGCTGGGACATTCAGGGAGAGCTCAGGCTCCGTGCAGACAAAACACGATGTCCATGCATCTGACCACTCTGCAGGGCTGAGTGAGGCGCTTTCATCATACAGAGCCACTCATGCGATCCTGAGGCGTGCTCCAGGCCTCTCGGAAGCTGTGCTGTGTCCTCACAGAGGGAGCCGCGCACAGACAGCGCTCTCATCACCCAGAGCACTGCATCGGAACACCGGGGCGTGAGCTGACACAGAACGGCTGCTGAACGGATGTGGAGCGGTGTGGGGAAGACAACCGAACATGAGAATGGCCCCAGGGCACACAGGAGCTGCGTGAAAGCTCAAGAGTGGCTGAAGGAATGGGACTTGGTTTCCAGGCCACGACTGCTCTGGGCGTAACCCCAGAGACACACTTGAAAAGAATGGTGAGCACCGCTGTGGGCTGCCAGCGCTCACGCCTGCTGCCCCTCCACTTCCTTAACTGCCTAACAACATCCATTTTAATGCAGCTATGATGTAGCTTTAGTACTACGAAGGTATAAGATTATGTACATCTAGGAGAAGAAGAGAAACATGAATTCTGACTAAGAATTTAGACCATGCCTCTCTCTATATTTGTGTGAAAACTGCTGCTGAGGGGACAAAGAGAATGGAGGACCTCAACAGTTAAGGAGAAGGACAAGGAGTAAGCGTCTAATCTAGAGCTTTGGGAATGGGCCAAGGAGCCCAGAGTTTCACGTTGTAGGGTCCAGTCTTCAGTGACAAGTTAATGGCCTATGGATGGTAGCTCTGGCGGGAGACTGCAGGAACGAGATGCTGAAAATTGACAGGATTAAATACGTTAGACAAAATGGAGACAGGGAAGGAAGGGAGACTGAAGAGAAATAGAACAAGGTATTTTAAACATATAGGAGTTTTAAGTTACTGATTTTAAGTTCTCACAAACCCCAGAAACTTTGAGGAAGGACAACCAGAATGACTTGTGGTCAAAGCTGCAGCTGTCTCAGCAAGCCCTAATCTGAACACCCTTGTTTTGGAAGTAACTGTTGAAAAGAAGACACTAGAAGTAGCAACGTAGGCAGGTGGTCTCAATACCAGCACTGCCTGCCTCCTCCCTGCTAAATCAGTTTCTCTTCACCTGCTTCTCCATTTTGTCAGTGGTAAATTCATATTATTTCTCAAGAGCTGAAAAAGTTACCAAGTTAAATTTTCTGCTCAAGGATAGGAACCTGAGTATCCATCACAAAGGCTGCAAGCAAACACAGAGGTAGAGAACCCCAGTGTCATCCCTTCCCAATTACTGCTGTTCGTCCTTCCCAGACCATGGACTTGGCTGCCTCCACTGTCAGTTGAAACCACACCCTTCCTCCCAACACAGCTTCTCCCGAGACACATGCGTTCGAACTCTACTCTCGTGTTGTCATTCCTATGGATGACCTTTCTATCTGCTTCTTACGAGACGCTGTTCGCGTGCTCAGCGTTAGCACGAGGACGCTTGCCTGTCAGTCTAAGACACCACTTCATCACCTCCCCGCTACAGCGAAGAAGCTTTGGGGCTTTCCCCTTGTACCTAACTTAAAGGCACGCTTCTTCCAGCTTTTACGAAAACATTTCCCCCGGCTCCTGCCGAACAATCCCTATGGCACCCCTGGTTATACTGCTCATGTTCTTCAGTGGCCTCTCTAGGCAGACAAGACTCTTGAGGAAAGCTGTGTTTTATAGCCCACCGAATCTCGGTGTCAGCTCGCCTGCTGGGTGGCTTTGAGCTTCTGCATTTGAGTGTCGGCTCCACTCTGCACCGCTGCTGCCCTCTTCGCTCTGCCGGGAACGCGCTCTTAACCCTGTGTCTGTGCATCACTCCCATTGTGTCCTCACAAGCCAGATGATGGGGAGTGTCCCCCTCCCCCGCACTTCCCACAATGTCCACTGACTCCACAAAACAGGCGATTAATCAGTAGCTGTGGACATGACAGTGCTTTCTGCATCAAATGTTACTCTAGATGAAAACAAAAACGTGAAACCAAACAAATACGTAAAGCTCCTTCATGACGGCGAGCACTGCACTCAGTGACGCAGCTACTGCCAAGGTTAGTAACAGAGAAGGACCGTCCTCGAGGTCTTCCATGGGACATGATCAGCGTTCAGAGTCTGTCTGCCAGCTGCCCTGCCCTGCCCGCAACCACAGGCTAACACAAATATGCTCATGAGGTGTCATATGAGATCCCTAAATCACCAAGCGACATCTACACTTCACTGGGCCCGTTCTCAAGGCTGAGACTTTGGCGACTTCAGTTTGCTCACTGCCCTTACATCAAAGACACCATAAACACCTGAAGACCCTATGCCAGCAGCCGCCTGAGAATGTTAGTCCACCAAACAAATTTCTCTTCTCTGACACCTGCTGGACGTTTATGGACGCGGGATGTGCACTGAGCATGGGGTCTAAAACCCTGAGCGGCAGGAGATGCTACCTTGGGCTCCTGGTGGTCCTGAGCTAGCCTGCGCCCCGAAGCCCTGCTCACCTCCGTGCAGCGGCACCTGCTTCAGCTGCCTGTCTGTACGGAGCAGACGGAGCGGAGCTCACATTGCTGCTACTGGGCCATCTTCTTGCACGGTGGTGAGCGAGACGGCCCCAGAATGCTATGAAAGCCTTAGGTCATAATGAACTCTTCAGTGAAGACTTGTAAAACTATTTGGGCATTTGTGTGTGTATGTGTGTGAAAGAAACTGTTGATTATAAATTATTCAGCCTCCCCCCCCACCGGAAATTTTAGTAGAAAAGCTCCTAGAAATACTCTTATTTCATTTATATTTTCAAACTTTTTTTTGTTTTTAAGTTTTACGCATGTGTACGTTTTGCCTGCATGTATATCTGTGTGCTAATTGCCTGGTGCCCGTGGAGGCCAGAAGAGGGCACCTGATCCTCTGGAGCTGGAGTTATGGGTGGTGGCCAGCATCATGCTGGTGCTAGGGACCAAATCCAGGTCCTCCGGGGGAACGGCCAGTGCTCTAACTGTTGAGCCACCTCTACATTTCCTAATTTTTAGCATAAACCTTCTTCCTAGTGGTTCATACTCTAAGAGCATTTGCTTGTTTATTAGTGTAGGGCCTGCGTGTGGCATGCTGGTATGCAGAGGTCAGAGGACACCTCTCAGGAATCCGTTCTCTTTCCCTCATGTGGATCTTGGGGATCAAGCCACGGCTGCCAGTGTTGGCAGCAGCTGTGCTAACTCGCCGAGCCAGGCGATTAGGACACCCTTCCACCACAGCCCGCCAAGCTCTTTTTGAGACAAGATTTCTCTGTGTAGCCCTGGCTGTCCTCTGGCCTCCGAATCCTAAGTGCTGATATTAAAGGCATGCACTCATGCCTGGACCCGGCCATGCTTTTAAATCCTGCTGCACTCATATAACTTTTAAATTATGAAATGTCAGTATTTAAAAATTTTGCTTTATATATACTCACTATATGACTAAATACAAAATTAAAATAATCACTCCAAAATTTAAAGTTTCCCTTTGCAATAATATAGGAAAATAAAATGCTTTATATTACAACTCCCTTAGTTCAACGTCATGACAGTATTTTACCTCTGGGGCCTGAAATGAGACCGCTTTCTGACCTGTGCACACTGATGGATGGCTTTTTCACTGCCATCCATAACCCAATCTTACCGTGGAGAGCACTGTTTCTGCCCTGCTCCTGTACTACGCCGTCCCCCACCCTCCCCCGCTCCATCTGTAGCTATCTGGTCAGACGTAGGAGGCACAGAAAGGCCCACAGGAACACATACAACTGTCTGATCACTGTATACACAGAAAGGCCAAGTCACAATATCAACTGTAACTTGGGAGTCTTTAAAAAAGAATCAAAGATTTTACAGCAGAAACTTTTGTAAAAAGACTTGATTGGATTTTAGGGGTTTTAACTTCTCCTGTAATTAACTATGAACACAGAAACAAAACACAAATGGGTACTATATATTCTTATAAATGAGATTCTGTATTTTCAGGCAGAGTGTAAAAAAATACATACAGAAAAATCCTCATTGAAATTTAAGACAAAAACAAGTATCTTAAAATATGATTTTGTGTAAGAAAAACCCCTTGTCATTTATTCTTTCAGTGTTACCAATTCACACTGGCAGAAAAGGGCTTTGAATAAACACCTCTTGTGCCCAGGCGTACATCAGCCTTCCGTGAACTACACTATGCTTGCTCTTATTGCACTTTTCCTAAGGACTTGCTGAGGGCAGGGGGACATGAATTCATTTAAGTACAAAAAGATCAGACTCAAAAGAACAACTATGTGAATGAAAAATTAGGCATGATAAATCGACCTATTGGGAAATCTTCAAAAGGGACCAGAATAAAACCTGAGCACTGGGTACCTCAAAAGAACAGGTGCTTAACCACAACTATTTCAGCATCATACCTCGGGAGGTTTGAACTCTTCAATTCCACCTTCCATTTTCTGCTTAAGCGCACTGTTCACTTGCTTAGCATTCTGAACCTTCACAAAAGAACAGAACACAGGTCAGAGCATGCACTCAGTAAAGCTTGGTGAGCACATATAAGGGAAGAGGACGTACGCCAGAACCACCTGAGGGTTAGCTCAGAAGAACAGACACATGCTGCTGTTCAGTTAGCACACACCTGGACAGGCTGCTAAGACTTTGTATAAGAGAATAACACAGATCCTTTCTGCGGGGGTGGGGTGGCAGTGTGGCGTGCTGACCGGGGCTTTGGTCCTGGTAGGCAAGCTTCCCCCTGAGCTACACCCCAAGTCCCACTTTACACTCATTTAACAGTGCTGTTTATAACCACAGGCAGCTGGCATGGACAAGGAGTAAGCTCTGTCACCATTTCCCATCACCATCATGTTGCTACCAAATGGCAAATGTTTCTGTAATAATAATGATAACAGTGACTAGTACTTGCTAGGTATAAAACATTGTTTTTGATACATTAAAAAAGACACTCAATTCTCACAAGCTTTCTGTGTGCCAAATACAATTAGTTCTGTAAAATACAGCATCAATATTCTTAAAAGTGATGATATCAAATCTGCAATTAACAAAAACCTGCATCTTTGGGGGAAAGTATACCCACTGGGTAGACCCTTCAATGGGTACAGAATGTATACCTGCTACAATGAAGATGGCACTTGACCTTTCAAAGACATTCAGGCTGGTAAAGAGGACGTCGACCTGGCTGCAGTTGGCAGCTGAGGTGTGTGGTTCTCCACACAGTGTGAACTGACATAGCTCCTAGACAACAAAGGTGTGGGAATGTGTTCAGCCAACTAGGAGCAGGTTCTCACGGACAAAACCATGCTGGCCAACACAAAATTCATATTATGCTCAAGTTTCCCAGTCCATCAAATACACTAAGACAAACATGTTCTCAAACAGGAGCTGAAGCAGGCCTGACTGTTTTTCTTAGAACCATACATAGAAAATTAACTATAAGGCACACAGAGGTTAAGAAACCTTTCAAGGTCTTGCATTTAAGTGGTACAATCTAAACGTAACCAAGTTTCAAACTATTACTCTGTGAGCTACAGTTCCAGCCCTGTACACTGGCTTACTCACTCCCAGATGACACAGAAGCCGAGCGAGAGAAGGTGAAAAGCCTCGGAGCGAAGACAAGCTGTGCTCAAAGTCAGAGTCACTGACTCAGCTTCCAAGGCTTGCAAACAGTATGGTTATCATTCCTTGCTGAAGCCTAGTGAGCTGCAGATCTGTTTAGACTGAATGCTGAGTAACAACGCTGGCTGGAGATGCTGCTTAGGAGCAGAGCACCACCGCTGTGGGGTCGAGCCTGCGCCCCAAACAAACACCGCCCCCAAAAGACCCCCACAGGCTGCAACTCCTAGAAAAGAGCACTGCAAACTACAAAAGCAGAGGAGCAAATGGCGGGAATCAGGACAGGCCCCGTTGTAGGAAGTACCTGACGCTTTAGAGAGATCAGCTCCATGTCCAGTTGCCTCAGGATGGTGTTGGCTGCATTGGGACTACAGGAAACAGCCACCACGTCCTCCTGGGTCAGATACATGCCCTTGGGAGGCCGGCACTTGGCGCGCGGGGAGTGGTGCCGGTGCTGCAGGCTCTGGTGCTCCCTCCTGCCCAGGCCGATCTTGCTGGTCTGCACAGGCTGCTCGGCAGTACCCTACGAGGACAGAGTGAGAAGAGCGAGGCGGTCTCCCACCAGCGCCTGCAGAGCAGACAGTCTACCACAAACAGAAAGACCTTCTGCACTGCAAAATACTCCCGAGTAGTTTTACTACGTTCAAGTCCAAAGAAGACACATAGGTCGGGTGTGACAGCATGATAAAATGTATTTGTGATTAATACGGTAAAATGTTTAGTTTCTAGGTCCTGAGACTATGAAAAAGGAAAAAAGTAAGTCACACTGTAAATTCTTCCCATTAGCTCATGTAAGGAAGAGCCCCAAACAACAAAGGCCACAAATAACATCCCACAGAGACCACCAGCAACGGCCTCTCCGCACTTACACGTGCATGTTTGGCAGCTTGTGAAAAGAGAAAGGGGGTTGGGGTTTTTGTTTGCTTTTCAACTGTTTCTCAGTAGCCCTGGCTGTCTTGGAACTCACTCTGTAGACCAGGCTGGCCTTGAACTCAGAGATCCTCCTGCCTCTGTCTCCCGAGTGCATGGGCCATGGTGGCTGGCAAGAGGAAGGTTTTATTTCCCTTGGAGTTTCAGAACACTGTATACCGACAGAGGTTCGACTGGACACCGGTGACTTGACTTTCATGGTATGGATTTTTAAGACCTGACACATTTGACCTTGGTTCTTTAGAGGGTGGACTGGGACCCCTAGAACCGCACAGTCAGGCATAAGCCACCACACAGCCTAACATTTCATAGCGGCTACGGCTGATCTCATGTTCAGAGACGCCTCCTACATCCTTGACTCGAAGGTTTTTCAAGCTGGCAGTGAAGGAAGGCCTTCTCTCCACAGCCTAGAGGCAGGAGGAAGAGTTCAGGATGAGCAGCTGGGCGAGAGGGAGCAAGGCCTGAAGGCCCAGGCTTCTGTTGGGGCCACGGAGGGCACGAGAGACAAGGGCAGAATGCTGGAAGGCACATTCATCACCATGTAAGTAGGACAACAGACCCGCTCACTCTGCCACAGGAAAGGGCCAGAAGCAGCCGTGCCAGCGTCAGTCTGAAGAAAAGAAACCCTGAAGAGTCTCACCTGAAAACCCCCAGAGGCTGGCCCCGCGCAGGGTCACCCCAGGGGCCGGCCCCCACGCAGTTTATGCCCTAAACTTATATGATCTTTGCAGCTTGAAAAGTCCCCAATTTTAGTGGCTTAGAAGCAAATACAGAAGCTGCTTAGAAGAACACACTCCAGCCTCAGACATCTCACAGATAAGTACAAACTGGTAAAGGACACTCCTCAGGAAAAAGAGGGAGTCTGCACAAAGAGAGGACCAAGCCAAGAAAGAACTGTGACTAAATAATCAATACATTTATATGTAAATTAAAAAACACTGAATTTAAGTTTGAATAAGCTAAGAAAACCAAAAACAAAACAGGATGTGACCAAAACTGTGGGTAAAAACACAAATCATAAATCAATAGGGGTTAGAGCCAAAGCATGCAATGGGAAAGCCACTGAAAATACCAGCACTAGAGTAACCAAATATAGAAGGAAAAATCTCCTGGGTACACCAGAATAAAAATGCGGGAATAGCCAGCTCAAAATAGCAGACAGTAAAATAATAAAGTAGATCACAAAGGAAAAAAGCCATAATATCAGAAAAGGCAAACAGACAGCAAAAATAAGTAAAATAGAGGGCTGGGAGATCGGCTCAGGCAGGAAAGAGTCTGCTGTGCGGAGCGGGGACCTGGGTGGCAAACCCCAGTCTCCTCACAAAAGCCTGGGCCATGTCCATGACCCCAGAGAGACAGGAATCCCGGCAGCTCACTGGCCAGACAATCGAGTTAGAGCAGTAAGCTCAGTGAGAGACCCCTGCTTCAAAAAGAGAGAAAAAGAGAAAGAAAGAGACAGACACAGAGAGAGAGAAAAGGAGGGAAGGAGAGAGAGAGAGAGAGAGAAACTGAGAGAGGAAGAGGAAGACACCTGACTTCTGGCCTCTATTTGGTAGACAGACATATCTGACATACAGACATATCTGATTAAGCATTTCGGTTCTAAGACGGCTGGAGTAAGACGAGCAGAAGAGTGAAAAGGGGACTTTAGAAAAACAGGAAGAAAGCAATTCCAGAGTGACGCTCGGGCTTGAAGGGAGGGTTCAGTGGAGGACCGGGGTTCTGACAGCAGCACCAACCTGGGTAGCTCACAACTGCCCCTAACTCCAGCTTCAGGAGACCTCACGGCCTCCTGTGGCCTCCACAGCTCCCTGCACTCAGATATTCACACAAAGGCACACGTATATATAAGTTTGCGTTTTTTTTTTTTTTTTTTCTTTTTATGTTAAAAAAAAGTGAACCACAGTGTTTATGGCTCAAGGAAGCAAAAGCAAAACACATGAAACTGAGGAATCTGAAGGTATCTGGCATTTGAAAAACCATTAAAATGTAGCAAATGGGGAAGTTAGAAAACATCACATTGACATAATGAGGATTTTAAGTGTCATGAGTGGAGAAACGTCACAGGATGGTAAGAACCAGACAGGTCAGAGTTTGCAGTGACGGCTGCTGGGGAAACCACACACTGGGAAACTGAGGCTCAAGGCCAGCAGCCAGTCCACCATTCCAGCACTGTGCTCACTGCGGCCCCGCTCACGGCCTCTGTCGGCACTCAATGCCTCACAAATATGTAATCCTTACCTTACTAAACAGCACGTGTACCAGGTTAGCCTTTTCTCGTGGCTGTGTCTCCTCACCAACACAGTGAGGCAGCTGAACCCTTCCTACGGCCTTCCCGAGCCGGCTCTCCGTGTGCCCTGCTCGTCACACACCGGCCACCACTTTCTAATTCGCCATGGAGAGACTTCTGAGAAAAACCAGGGAGCAAAACTGGAAACCTGAAAATCTTACAACTCTTACCCTGTAAAGGTAGCCTCTTTCTTCAGTGCATTATGGACTAACAGTGCGGCAGGAGACAGCCCGAAACGGCCATTTATTGGCTGGCAGAGCTTTACACATCACAGTAGTTTCCAGACTTCAAATCCCACTGACGCCTGCTTCCTAAACCATTAAACAGAAGTCTTTCTTCTTTTCCCCAAAGATGAATTTTTAATTATGTGTGTGTTTGTGTGTGCATGTGGGTGCTGGTTTGTTTTTTAATTATTTGTGTGTGTTTGTGTGTGAGTGTGGGTGCCCACTGAGGACAGGGGTATTGACTAGGCCTCATGCTGGGAACGGAACTCCCGTCCTCTGGGGGAGCAGTGCGTGCTCTTCACACCATGCCATCCCTCCACTCTGCTCTGAGATAGGGTCTCACTGTGTAAGTAGATCTACTCTCTAAGTAGATCAGGCTGGCCCCACACTCACAGAGATCCACCTGCCTCTGCAGCCCAAGCGCTAGGATTAAAGGTGCCACCACCCCAGGCTCCAGGCTCTCTACCCCTGAGCGTCACGACGTCGGTCTTTCTGAGCAGCCCTAGTGCAACAAGTACAAGCGTGGACCGTCACCTCTTTTTTGGCTTCTTTTTTTGGGTCATAGTCACTGTCGTTCCCGTCCATTGGGTGTGTTTCTTCCATATCGTCATCACTGAAAGACAAAAGATCAGTGGATCCTCCAGTCACCTCACTGCATGCGCCTGAGGGTTCTCACTGGGCAGAACAGCTGTAACCGGGACCCCACGTCCTCAGGCCAGTCATCCTTCGGGTTTACAGAACCATTCAAGCAACACTCCCCGCTCCATAAGAGGGGGATGGCCCGCACTTTGGTGTCGCGCTGGGGGTGTGAGTTCTGTACGTGGTATAGCCAGGTACCACAAGCACAGCAACGAAGCCTCAGTGAACGGAAAGGCTGCACAGACACGTACCCGTGTGCGTGGAGGGCTGGGCACCGACGCCGCACAGTGCCAGGGCCTTCCCCGAGCCATACCGCATTCCTTCCTCCACACTCAACAACCAGCACTGAAGGAAGCCTGAGCGCGGAAAGCTCCTCCACGCCCTGTGAGCACTCGGCTTCCTACCACAGACAGCGCTACAGCAGCTTCTGATCGTACGAAAACACACAATCCAGTGACAGCGCCCAACCGTGCGACACGGGTAAAGCACACGACCTACCTGTCGCCCTGATTGTGTCTGTTGGCGAGTTTACGAGCCTGGCGATCCATCAAACTTGTCCTTGAGCGAGTTTTTTTCCAAGAATAGTAATACTTTACAAGACTTGCAATTGTCTTATCTGGAAGCTTAAAAACAAATTCCTGTTACTGTTGGAAACTGATGAGTAACACGTCACGGTGTGTGACACTCAGGGCAGGAGGACGACGTCCGGACGTCAGGCAGGACTGAGGAGAGCTGGACCAGTCACAGCTCCCACATCCCTCACACTGCTGACCCACGTTACTATTGGTTCCGGGGGCAGGAAAGTGTGACAACTGACTCAATGACGTGTCCCCCAAGGTCCCAGCATGGCCAGCACCTGCCTCCTTCCAGCGTTGCTTCCTCAAGTGACTCAACTCTGCTTTCTCTAGTTGGGAGCGGTTGAAACACAAAGGAAATTGACAGACACCTCACAGACACATGCAGTTGTCCTGAGTCTGGCCTCTTCCAGGTAGCAAAGAGCTAGGCAGTCCTTAGCCGTGAGCTTTCAGATCCCTTCAGTTTTATATCTACATCTTAGTGCGTAATGCAGACAGATCGGACCACTGAACAGTCTTAGGTGTTACAGTGGCTGCCGAGCGCACGAGTCACACTGGAAGGATGTAAACTACATGCCAAAATGTCCCCTTCAACTACCGAACTCACGCGCATGTACAAACAGACATTTTCCTTGAAAAAACAAAAAGCCACAAAGCACCAACAACCCCAGGAGAACCCAGACAACACCAACACGACACACAGGACACATACAATGCTGACACGACACACAGGACATGGACAACATGACACACAGGACACGGACAATGCTGGAATGACACACAGGACATGGACAACATGACACACAGGACACGGACAATGCCGGAATGACACACAGGACATGGACAACGCTGGCATGGCACACAGGTTGAAGACAGACGCCACACAGGCTTAAGATGGACTTTCATCTTGGGGTTACGCCAATCTTGACACTAACTCCACCTCACGAGCACCGTGTTAGTATTCAGCAGCACTGCTTTTTAGTTAGTTTGTCCTGTTCCAAGGAGTCAGCTCTGGACAGATGTACATACAAGAAATCCTAACTGGTCTCAGCAGGCTGTTCATATATGCGTGTATGTGCGTGCATACACACGTAAATGCAACAATAGTGACAGTGGCTGTGAATTTGAAGAGGAGGTGAGGAAGGACCATGGGAGGAGTTATGGGGGAGGCGGAAGAATGATGTAGATTTGGGCTCATGTATCTCTAACTTTTTTTTACTAACTTTATTTTTTACTAACTTTATTTACTAACTTAAGTTAGTAAAAGGACTTTTACATGCAAAATGAAAGAAAATCCTAAAGTTAAAAATCAAGACATTCAAAAATAAAGTAAAATTATTATTCCCCCATTAAAAACAACCATCAAATTAATTTAGTAACTATTACTCACACATTTGAGATAAAAAGGAAACGCCACACCCCTGTTATGCATGGGCAACTAGAAAATACTACAGCAAATTCACTCATTTCCAATCCTTCTTAATATTACAGTTAAGTGAAAAACATCTATGTGGCAAGTAGGTAGTATCCAATCCCATCATAAGGTAATTGGCATAATGGTAATTCGTGGAGGACCAAAAGCACCCTACCATTTGCTGAATCCTGTGGAAGCTCTTCCCGTGGAAACTAAAGGCTTGTTCAAACAGGACCTTGTCTTCCACCGTCCACTCGTCCGGGAAGGGCGTGAAGTTGGGCAGGTCCGCGAGGGACTTCTCGATGTTGTGTTTATGCCAGAAGAGCATGCCCAGCGCCTGTGAGGAGAGGCCGCGGGACTCCAATGACTGACCCCCGCCACACGTGTCAGCGCTACAGTGTGAGCCTGTGACCTCACCTTACCAGAGCTTGGGCTGGGCCTTTACACGGGCAACCCCTGCTTATGTGCGCACACCAGGCTCGGAGGAGGGCTTGCGGGTCCAATGTCATTGGTTGTTGGGGAAATGACTAACTCTAAGGCAGGTTTGTATGACAAGATTTTACCCAGTTTATCAATTTGTCATTAGGTAAGGGAAATGGTCTAAAAGAAAGCTACTGGGTAAGTGACAGCAATCAAACGGAATGAAATTATCAATTACAAAAAAGAGCCAGACACCCTCGGTTGGACTTAACAGAGAAACATCAAGATTTAACTTTTCAGAATTATATTATAGGCTAAATAATTCTAATAATTCAATCGCTTCCACTGCAATTGTTCAATTTAATTATTTTATCACACATTCAATATTTGCATTTTAATAAAAACTGTGTATTTAATATTTGTTTACTTTGCTATTACCATAATGTATACATACATATAATTATCAGAAGTTATCTAAATAGCTTCAGTGACTTGACTGAAAGGCCATTTCTAAAAATTTCACTCCTCCTCCCTCTACTGTAGTAGCAAGAGGCTTTATTATAAGGCAGTAAGCACTGCCTAATGAGTAAACTTTCATTCTAAAAAAAAAAAAAAAAAAAAAGGACACAGAATTTTTAGTGGTGAGCTTAAAATAAACTTCTGTACTCTGATAATAGAAATTCAACATAAACATGAAAATAAGCCAATATATACTCATATTTTGAAAGATAACCTTTCTTAAAGGTAATAAGGAAGGCACCCCAGGCGTGGGGTGCTCGCCTTCGATCACAGCATTGGGGGACAGAGGCAGGAGGCTCTCTGTGAGGTTGAGGCTAGTGGGCTGCAGAGTGTGCTCTAGGGCAGCCAGGGACAGACAGACCCTGTCTCAAAAGAACAAAACGACAAAGAAGGTATACAAACAAAATGGGTAACAGGCATGATCCTCGGGAGACAGAGGCAGGAGGATTGCTGCGAATTCCAGCCAATCAAGGTTACACAGCAAGATACTGTCTCAAAATTAAATAACCAAACAAAAACTAAAACCATAAAATAGGCCACCGATAACTTCAAAAATGCCCCCAAAGGTTAATTTCTGTTTCACTCTATAGACAAGCGCATCAATTTTAAAAAGTTTACTTTCAGTTTACCCCTGTACAGAGCGCTCCCAGTGACCCGCTCAGGCGGAGCTGCTCTCTCCCCTCTGACCCAGGGTGAGACCCGTGGCTTACACATCTCTGCTTCGAGGCAGGAAGTGGGGCCACACAGCTAGAGTCCCTGCTATGGGGACGGGGAGATCTGGCCTCTTTGTGGGGAAAAAGGGTGAAGCAATCAAAGAAGACAGTCTGAAACTGACCTCCGGCATGCACACAGGTACACGCTCCAACACACACACAAACGTGCACACATTTCTCCACATACCTGTTCAACGTTGTAGCCGTGCTTCTCTTTTGCAATGGCGATATATTCATCCACTGTAATGGAACCGTGTTATTTCATTACTCTCACAAACTCCAATTTCTCAGATCTAGTTTTTTGGTTTTTTTAAACTTGGTAAAATAATTTACTATTCTGAGTAAAAAGAAAATTGCCAAGGCTACCATCCACAGAATGTTACTGAAGGACAAAGAATCAATGGTTCCCCACCAGTTCAGGACTTCACTTACCTGCCAACCCCATGACCACACATGATATAACTACTACTAAATTAAGGGACATTACTCCAGTTATCCTTGTATGCTGACAATCACCCATGTGGAAGCAGACAATGGAACCTACTTATACTGTAAAATCCTGAGATAATCCTTGATTTCCAATTACAGTTTTTAATAGAAATACCTGGCTGTGAAAGACCCTTTTTCATATTTATAAACGGGGCTGACACCCACAATTCTGCAAGCTATCCCAGAGAATGGAACCCTGAGCATGCCTCAACCTCCTTAACGTTCTCAGTGCTTCTGCTTGCTTTATGGGGTGCAGGGCTCTATTTCCACTTAGCTTCCACGTGTAACTAAAGGACTCAGAGAAGCAGCTTTAGCAATGATGTGCTACTTCAAGGCTCTTACCAAGTGTTCAGTTACATTCGGGATTCACTTTTAGGTGGTGTCCATAGTCACTCCTTTATCCCTTTCAAATGTATCACACAAATGTATATGTAATCGGTTCTTTAAACATGTTTCTGAGAAGCAGAAATCTTAAGAATTCTGACCCTGGTATAGGTACTGTCTGCCTGAAATTGCTTTTCTGTTCACACTTTGGTGGAGTAATTTGAACTTTTGTACCTTAGTTTCCTTCTCTTAATTTATGATAAAACAACACAGTCTCTCTTGATTATTATATGTTGCTTAGAATGTACTTAAGTGACCACAGACCTAGAAAGATGCTGACCAAATATAACAAGAATATATCATAGACCTTTAGATAGCAAACTAAGACATCCCAATTGAGCAGATGTGGTCGCAGCCCTGGCTGGGCCCTACAACCTGACAGAAGTTTTAAGAAGACACAGGTACCGCCTCTAAGATGTGGGTCAGAACAGACACCAGTAGAGAAGAGAAAGTTCCCTAAGAGATTCTACCACAACGTAGCCAGAGTTGGTCACAGCCTCAGGACAGCTCACATGGACATCACCCTAACAGAAGCATTACCTTTCTGCATTTGGTTTTCATGTTGCTAAAACCGCACCATTGTCCAAGACAGTGAAATTCCACAGCACTCCGAGGCTTGTTTTATAAATGAAAACCTCTGCGTGTAATAATGAGCAAATCTGGAAAAGGCAAGCCTTTCAGGTTCTCGGTGCAGCTTTCTTGTTGAACACCTGCAGCACACAGGACTCAGCGGCAGGGGGAGCCTCACCCATACTTTAGAGCTTTTGGGCAGGAGGACTACCAGGTGCGTGGACACAGCACTCTGCAATCTTTTGATTACACGGAGCAGCATGCTTACGCTCTGCGCACAGGACAGAGAGGACATGGCTATTTTTCTCAAGACTAACTAAATCATAACAAGACATAAGTTCCTGAGATGCTAGGAAATACTTTTAAAGAAAAGCGGGTTTTATGTCTGCTGGGATGGCCGGCCGTGTGGCTGCTGTGGGTATTTGCAAGCTTGGGAGCTGAATGGAGGGGTGGGGTCTTGGTGCTGTACCTGCGTGTTTCCTATCTGAGGTGCCGGAAGGGACTCAGGTCCGCTACATCACACTAAAGTCTAAAGCCCCAGCGTGATTCAACAAGTGCATGGTCAAGGATCCAGAAGGTCTCCGTCCAGTAAGGGAGAGCGCGGATGACCTGAGGGCTGCAGGCAGTGCTCTCTCCCCTTTCCTCTGTGGATGGCGGTGAGAGTGGCTCCCTGGAGTCTGAGGCCTTTCTTTTACTGCGCCATAGGCGGAGGGGGAGCCTGTGAGTGGCTAGCCAGTGACCCCACCCCTGCTTGAGGACTCAAGCGGCAAAGCCATCAGATCCTAGGGTTTGCGTTCTTCACGGGCCTGACACAAACTGAAATGATCAAATTCACTATCTTTCAAAGGGAAACACATTCTAACATAATGGACGTTTCCATCAAGAAAGAAAACGAAGGTAATTCAGTTCTTAAGAGCATCTAAAAGACTAAAAGAAAAACGTAAATTGCCCTCTGAGCAGGCCGGTCCCCTACGATGTTTGTGCTGTGTCTGAGAAGGCACTTACGTTTGGTGTCTGGGACGCTGTGGTGCGGGGACCACACAAGCATGCCTCCATGGTCCTTGTCCGCGCACTTGGCAGCACCTGAGGAAAAGCAATTATGTTGAACAGGATAGCAATAGCGTTTAACTTATACTCCAAGTAAATGCACACAGAATTTTATTTGTTTTAGTACAAAACCTGCAAAGAAGAGACAGGAAAACAGAAAGATTTACATGAAAGACAGTAAATCGCCCATTCATAGAAATGAAGGCAACACAGTTCCGTTCCTGCCACCACCTTCAGGACTCCCGGAAGCACACTCCTGTCTCCGGACCGTCTCATCAGACGGCTGTGACCTGACTGGTTCCCTACGAAGACCTGCCTAATTAGTGCTTTGCTGTGTCCACGTGGGCCACCACTGCTGGGACTTAAAAATAGTAGTGTCTCCTTTCACGGCTTGCATTTTATCTTATTCCTAAGTCTGGCAGCTTTCCTTTCAAAGGCATAAAAGTTAACATAGTACTTCTTCATGCGATCTGGGTAAGTCTAGGAGAACACTAATTTCCTGTGTGTTTCTCATGTTATAACCTGTATCGTCCAAATTATCAGGCTTTATTAACATAGGCTGAAAATGAACTGGATGGATGAAAACCTCACAGCTGACCCAGGGCTACCACAGGCCTGTGGATACTTCAGTTACACTGGAGTCTTTTTCTGGCTTCTACCCAGTCCTTGGCTAAAAGCTAGTTACAACTATGAACATATTAAGAATTGCTGCCTTGTTCTAAGGCAGCTGGTTTTCAGGAGGTAGATACCTACTTCCCACTAAGGTCAGAATTCCCACCTAGTCACATATAATACTAGGAGAATTCTGTGGTTAAACTGTGTTTATTATAAGGTATTTGGAGTAGAGAACATTCCTTACAATTTCCACAGAGATAAATTTAATATTATCCAATACCGAACTTTTGGAGAATCATTATGCATTACTAGTATATATGCGTGGTAAGAATTTTTAGTTGGAAGAATCAGACTAAGACAATATGAAGCTGAAATTATTTTTAAACCTGTGTTTTATGATCTGAAAAATTAAGGATAGTGAGCAGGTTATCTAAGTATTAGGAAAACCACAACTGTAAAAATATATTTAAAAGCAAAATATTTATATTTGCTATATCTTTAAGAAAAAAGCGACAAAGAGAGAAACTTCAAATCTTTACAAAAAAATCTGAGCCAGAAGTTTATTAAAATGTCTAGTCAACAAACATAAAGTGAGACATTCTTTTAAAATTGGTGGATATCTGTAATCCCATTGTTTGGGAGGCAGAGGCAGGGGGACTGAGTGCAAGGCCAGCGGGGTTACAGAGAAACAGTCCCCAGAACACTTCCACTTCAGTATCAGCAGGGAGCGGAGGGTGGGCAGAGCTCTCTGGAGTCTGAAGCAGGCTTGTGCAAAACTCGTTCAGCGGAAATCTTCCAACCAAGCAAGTAAGCAGACAAACAAACAAACCAAAATCCCAAACACTGTCAATATTAAGACATTTGGTTTTTAGTCATGGACCTGGCAGGTAAAAAAGAACTTATGAAAGTCAAGTTACTCATGAAAATGAAACAAATCTCCTCATCTAGGCCGGCCAGAAGCCTTTTCTTAGAAAACCAAATATTTCTAGTGGATATCCTAACTTCAATTATTTATCATGCAACAGATTCTTTTTACACAATGAATTGTGACAATAAGATCATTAAAATCTCTTAATAGACGATGACACAGCAAATAAAAGCTTCCATTAAGTAAATAGTACTCCATGACAAATAAATGCATTTTCTTGCACCGTGTTCTTTAAGAACTTTTTTTTCACATTAGTGTATGTGTGTTGTTGAGTACAGATTATGTGTTCAAGTCAGAGGACAGCTCTGATGTGAGTCCTCGTGAGAGAACCCACATCTGGCAGCAGGCACCTCTCTCCAGTCCACGGACCTCATTCTTGAGTTACAGAAGTCTGATTGTCTCATTAGGTATCTGCTCCTAGACAGGTGTTGTTTTTTCTCTATTTAAAATACCAGTTATGATTGTCCTCAAAATGTTCACTATTGTAACTAAGGGTCCCACATAAACCACCAACTGTTCTTCTAGTGTGGGATGATAAAGGTAGGTGTCCTAACAGTGGAGAGCGCTTAACGGGCTCTTCACAATGTTCTTCCCTAATGATGGACCCCAACCTCTCCAACTACACAATCCTGCCAAGCAGGCGCAGGAAATGATCATGTCTACAGGAAAGTTACTTTGGTGTACTGGTTAAGGGTGTAGATTAGAATTCAAACCCCCAGTCACAGCAAGCATGCCACCTTGGAGATGTCTTCTTGTGCCTCAGTTTCCCTCATCTATAATAACAGACATAAGTCTACACTCAGAGCTTTTCCAAAATGAAACTGATAAGTTGATAATGCACACACACAGGATATCCAACCACTAAGACAGGGTGTAAGAAGGTTTCCACATAGGCGAGTTCGAAGTGCAAAACCAGCAATCTATAACTTTTAAAGACTCCCATTGAGACATTAAAAACAAGGACTGTGATGAACAAATACACTAAATTAAAAGAATTTAGATCCCGAGATAAGATGCTCTAACACTTAGAAGCTCTAACCGGGTTCTAACTGTATTGGTCTAGTACCTTCAAACAGGGGTAAAGACTCTGTCATGACATAGGAGCACTAATGAATTGTGTGTGCACAAAGCGTGTAGCAGCAGGAGGCCGACACAGGGAGTCTTCTACCTCACTCCTCCATTTCTGTTCTGTTGAGACCGGGTCTCTCCATGTAGCCCTCGGTGTCCTGGAACTCTCCATGTAGACCAGGTTGACCTCAAACTCACGTGCCTCTGCTGCTACCAAAGGCAGGCGCCACCGCCCTGACTGTACTCCTTATTCTTTAGACAGGATCTGTCACTGAACCTAGAAGCCACTGCTCCAGTCAGGCTGGCTGGCTGCGAGCCTCAGGAACTGTTTGCATCACCATGCCTGGCTTTTCCGTGGGTACCAAGAATCTGAACTGAGGTCCTTATGCTTTTAAAGGGGAGTTAGGACTGTATCTACCAAGTACCTTCCCAGTCCCCTAAATCTCAAGGAATTCAGACTTTTAAGTTTCCCATTTTCTTTCTCAATACAATCCGCCTGGAGACTGACCTGAGATCCAAGCTACGCTGCAATCTCTCCGGGATCTGGGGTTTCACCTTCTCTGATCCACTGTAGTTGGGAAATACTAAATGGTCAAACCCGGAAATAAAGGATGTGTAAGCTTACACTGCACACCAGCCTGAGCAGCCCTGTGAACTGTCCCACGGCTCCACTCAGTCCCGCCAAGGGACCCCTGTCCTTGCAGAGGACTGCAGCGGACTTCTAGTCCTTATACCTGACGGTGAATGTCCTCATGCTGAACATGTTTCTTATCTTACAGGGACAGCATTTCATAACCTTTAAAACCTGCAGGCTTTCAAGCTCCTCACTGAAGCTCTCCTTCGTTGAGGAAACCACAACTGTGGCTTTAATCAATTATGCACTAACTTAAGCCAGAACTCACATCCACCATAATGGGCATCAGGACAAGCTGGACATATGAAAAGAAAAAGAAGCTGGACAGTTGGTCAATGATAAACGCACGTTGTGTGTCTGTGCCGGGGCGCACGTGCCCCTGGGAAGGCCAGGGAAGACTCCAAGAACATCCATGTCTTCCCACCTCATTGCCTGGGACCCAGTTTCTCACAGCACGAGACGCTCATCATTACGGTTGGCCAGGGCGCCCAGGTGCCTGTCCCCACCTTCCGAGGCGGGAGTCATAGGCATGTGCAGCAGGGTCTGGCTTTTATGTGCATGGTGGTGGTCCAAACTCAAGTCTTCCTGCCAGCGCAACACGCGTCGCCCACCGGCTACCCCCCAGCCCACAGAGCACTGTTAAATATGCAAGTCTATTATGGGAGATTCTGTGTGGAATGTGCACAAAAGGACTTCAACAAAATCCATGTAGTTTATAAAATGGGTACCACCACGTTAATGTTTTTATATAGATAAATTTAAAATAAAGAATATTTTATTTTAAAATATTAATATTTTAATACACCAAAGATTACATTCTTTATCAATTATTTAACTCAACAACAAATAAGAGATGTCAACTTTAAAATCCGTAACTCTTTGTCTCTTCAAAGTTCCTTTATGGGTCTGCAAGTCACTGTTTCATACAGATTTTTACTTAACAGTATCTCCTTTCACGAACACGAAAACAAGCCTAAAGGAGTCGTCAGGTAACTAACTATACCAGAGAAACTTGAAGGCATTAGGTCACCAAGCAAAGCCACTCCTCAGGGGTCAGCACAATTAGGCAGCAAATATGGGAACTAGTGAGCAACTAATTTACAACTGATAACCTTCAGGACTAGTTAACAGCCAGTTTACAAGTGAGAGATAACAATCAGAAACCCAGTTAGTAAATCACAAAGATATCAGCATGGCCACTTCCGGTAACTGCCCCCAACCCCACAAACTGATCTACAACTGAAAGATAACAATCAGAAATGCAGTCAGTAACTCAGAGGCTTCAGCACAGGCACTACAGGAAACTGCCCCCAACCCACAAACTGATTTACAAGTGAAAGACATAAAGACATCACTCGACCCTCCAGTTAGCTGCCCGGTTCAGGCTCCCCAACGCAAACCCCGCTCTGCCAACTCCTTAATGGCAGTTAGCCACGACACGGACTTCTGAGACCCAACAGCAATTCCTTCTCTAGGTGTGGAATTTCTCCCATCACCGCTGTCATCTCTCTAAAAACTCGACTTCTTCTACAGTCTCATGAGAGTTTTAGCACCTAAGGAATTTTTCTTCCAAGTGACTTACATCGAAGGCTATAGTGAGTAATTTCCATAAATGTGTGTGTGTGTGTTAATCCCAGCACTCTGGAGGCAAAGGCAGGCAGATCTCTGAGTGAGTGGCCAGCCTGCCTTGAAAAAAACAAAATAAAATGAAGCAAAATGGGGAGGATTATGACGGCCAAAAGGAGAGCTTACTATTTCCCAGTTTATATCTCTGCTATTACATTTCCCTTT